TTATGATAATAAAAGAATAAAATCCGAGTTGAAAAGGATAAGAGTAAGGTATTCGGGAATCCGAATATGCCTATTTATTAAGTCCGATTGTGCTTTTGTCTGACGGCTAGATTAAGGAAGGTCACAATGAATGACCAGTGATTCACAATTTACGGCATATTTTTATATAGTCTAAGTCAAATGGTTACCCTAAAAAATCAGTACACGGAAATGCACGTACTACTACGGAATTTAGCACAGAAAAATCACGTAATCAATCCCTGCACGGAAACTAATTATCGAAAATAATTATAAAAAGTTTCACATAGTCATACGAAATTGTATGGAAAAGTATACAGAAGGCATTTAAAAATATTTAAAAATACGTTACTATACGTAAAAGTATACGTGACAACACGTAAAAAATACGCGAAAACACGTAAAAAATGCACGCCAGTACGTGTAACGTTGCACGGAATCCGTGCCTTATTACATGCTTTAAACGTATTGTTCAGTGCACTGTCCCGTGTATATTTACTCGCAATTTCGTGTTATCTCGTATTCAAAATTCCTTTCCCCCATGCAGTGATTTTAGATCAAAAAGTTACTGAAATTCGAAAGTGTTGCATACTAAAGTATTTTGACACCACAGGCATATCAGATCCAAATTTGAAATTTGCCGGATCCAAACTTGAAATTTACCAGATCCAAACTTGAATCTATCATAATAGAAAATTTTATAAGTTAACGAAGATGTAGATCTGATGTCGTAAAAATCATCCGATTATTACATCCAATCAGAATCAAAATTTGGTGGACAAACACAAAGCTCATATATGAACTACACACTTCGTTCTGGTATAGAGGTTAAAAAGGTCAACTTTTTACAAAAATATTATTTGAGTTTAAATAACAAAATAAAAGAGGGAACATGTAGATTAGCTCTAATGAAATTTACAAAAAAGTTTATATTAAAACCAATATAACCCCTATGTATATTGTTCGAGGTCCTGTACTATAACAAAATTAAATTCACAGATTTTGTGTGATAAATATTTGAAAAAGTGCCATTTTTTCTAATTTTATCGCAAATTTCTTCATTGAAAAAAATTGTTTATACAATAAATACACAAATGGCATAAAATCACAGTATTTTTTTTCTGTCAGACATTATGAAAACGGACTTATTTCCGTGATTATTTTAAAATACTCTAACAGTAATTTTCAAACTTTAATAGACGGATTGAAATTCCGAATCAACAATACAGATACCTTTTAGAACGTTAAACGCAAATATATCATTTGACTCGTTGTTTATTGAGCAATTGCTAAGTTTAGAACTTTGCTACGTATATTATAAATGATCTGGAAGTATTTAAGACGCAAATTTATCAAAAGAGCACTGAATATTGATTTCAACAATTTCACATTTTGAAAATATGGATAACTCTGAAGAAACAAATATATTAATTACAACTAACAATGTTAGTGAGCCATTTAACTTATTAGAATATCCAAAAGCTGACACTGAACTCGTAAAGTATCATCGCGATAAAATGTTCAGAGAAATGGAAATACAAAATTTGGTTACAAAATTTAACCTACTTGGAGACTTAATTCGGATGGCTGAAAATGCCTCAATTAACCAAACGGAAATTCATTTAAAAGTGATAATCAAGTTATTTCATTAGATTGTCATTTTCAACTTTTGATTTATTGCCACTTATTATATTCTTATAAAGGTCCGCGAAGTTGGTCACAAGGTTCTTCGTTTATGCGGTGATACCTGTGTCGCAATTCAAGCTTTCGAAACTGCATCGGATCAAGTTTTAGAAAGCCTTCAAACAGCCTATGACTATTTACTCAATGCTTGTGAAGATGAAGCAATTATTAATATTCAAAGCATCGATAAGACTGCGGAGGCAATGCAAAATATTGCAGAAGATTTGAAAAAATCTGCTGAAGAAGCAGGAAAAGATGCTCGTTTGGCCGCTGGAGATACTTTGAAAGCTGAAGAAAATCAAAAAATTCATAGAATACGTACTGAAACGGAGCAGAAAATTGTGAAAATTGTGAAAGAAAAGGAAAAAAAGTTAGAACAAGAAATAGAGTGGTTGAATGATCGATTAGAAAAGGTAGATCAGGTAGAAAAATCTAAGGCTGAACAAGTAACCTGGTAAGCATATACTGTAGTTGTATTTAGTGGTCTATGTGGTTACTAATTCTGAATATACTTAATGCTAATGTAGGGAAAGTAAAAAGACACGCAAATTTTTATTTTTTTTCGACATATCTGCTACCAATAAGGAAGTCCTCAAAGATTTAAGAAGGGACAAGGAGTTAGCTCATGAAGGTTTAAATTTCTCTCAGAAAATATTAAATTATAATGATAATTTTACTACATCTTTAATTCTATTGTCATTACAGAGAAAATGAAACATCTTAAAGAACGTGAAAAGAACATTGCTCGACAAATGGAAACCATGGAAAACATTAAGAAATTGGCCGAAGAAGCACAAATATTTAAAGATGACATTAGCAACCAAATTACTAAAGCGTTATTTGAAACTAAAGGCGCTTTGG